TCCTGCATTTCAAAAAGCATTAAAAAAAGGACATCCTCTAGGTGCAAAAGGGGAAGAGGGAGATACGGACAATGATACACCGACCAGACTCATTTTTCAAGAACAATTAAAACATCCTTTAGAAATACTTTTCTAAACTTTTTCATTGAGATAGTCCATACATCCTAAAAAGTATATAATTAAATTAACTATTATACACACACCATCTAGGAATTGCCTGTGTCTGCCAAGGTAAGGATGGATAGAGAGTTGCCAGATAAAAAAACAAAGATACATTGAGTGCCTGCTTAAATATGAGTTTTAGATAGGCAATAACTTTTTTGTGTAAGTCTATTCTATGCAATGTTTGTGAATGCTTATTTAAAGGTATTCATTCTTTACCTGAAATTCAAATTTAACTGGACATTTCTCGTTTCTATTTAGTAAGTCGGGCAACCCTAGAAGGGGAAATTAAAGGATGTCCCATAGACATAACTCCCTTTTATGACTGGATAACAACTGAGGTTTGGTTATAGGAAACCCCAGAGTAAAATGAAATATGGAGTTAATTGGTGGATTGAATCTGCTCCCTCCCTAGTGTTTTGTATAACTGTGTACATGCTTTTGCTTTCTCACGATATCTCTGTGAAACGGTCAGGAATCTACAAATGGAGAAACAAAGGCAAAGATAGTAAAAGACATTTCAAAATCCCTCAGGGAGTTCAGGGTCCACTTAAACAAAATATTGTGATTGGCTTTTGAAATAAAATGTAGAGTTTAGATTTATGAACTTTAAGAACAGGAAAGCATTTTATCCTAAGCCCTTTATAGTGTATAAAGATTTTATTTACTTTCAGAGAGAGAAAAGGGGAGGAGATAGGGAGAGAAACCTCGATGAGGGGGAGGACCATCTTTTGGTTGCCTCTTGCACACCCCCAACTGTGGACCTGGCCTGCAATCTGGGGCATATTTTTGTCATTTCTTCATCAGGTGACTGCTATTCCAACAGAGATGACTGCTCTGGAATTTATAATTATTTGGGGGGTTGATTTATTGTCAATTTTTACACTACTGCTTATTCTTTTTTAAAGCAATATGGTCTTGCCCTGGCTGGTGTGGCTCTGTGGATTGAGCATTGGCTTGTGAACCAAAGGATAGGTAGTTTGATTCCCAGTCAGGGCACAAACCTGGGTTGTAGGCCAGGTCCCAGTAGGGGGCGCTGGAGAGCCAATCACACATTGATGTTTTTCTCCTTCACTTTCTCCCACTGTTCTCTCTCTTTAAAAATAAATAAATAAAATCTTTTAAAAAAAATCAATATGGCCTTGTTCTTGTTGCATGTGCTTTGTGGTCGGGAATAATTACCTACAGACTATATGGCTATGAATAGACTGTGAATCATGGGGAATATTCCATTTCCCTTGTGGAAACAAATTAGGGAGTTTAGTCAACCCTGGAGATCAGGGGTGGAGATGAATACAGGCTTGAATTGCATGTTGGTAGTCGAGAACTACCGGTGATGGAAAACTCAAGTAGTCTTAAAATATTAGCAGGTACAAGCTCATCTTTATTTACTGGGCCGCGATTGACATAGGTTTTCAGTAAAGATTCAGCAACTCATTTCCAGAATGTCAAGGAAAACTGGCTTTTTCAAGATGGAGTCTTCTAAGGAAGATCAAATAAGATGAGTGTGATACACACCACGCTGTCACCGAATTTCTAAAGTAAAAAGTCATTACTAGTTTAAAACCACTCAGGAAAAGAAAACCAAGAAACAAAAAAGGACCGGGCAGCCCTGGGAAGCCAAGTTTCTCCTCCCTGAAGTATCAATGTAGGAAGTGTGTGTAACGTTATATTGGTTTCTGAGTCCAGTGTGTGGCTAGACCAGATGGTTGTGCAATGTTTTATATACTCCAAGAATCTTTGATTCCATTTAAATAAATTAGGGACTAATGGAAGTTTAGTTTAGGAACTGACATAAGCCCCTAGAATGGTACTGGTGTGATTCTGCAGCAGTTGTTTGTGCTGCATTCCCAACAACCAGCAGTTTGTACCTATGGCCCAGTCTTCTCTGTTTTTCTTACTTACAGGCGTGGTGTGCCCATGTACATACCCACGCTTTACTGTTAGTCCCCTCTGTATGAAATGCAGACCCATTCTGGCAAAATGTTCACTTACCCCTTAAAGACCCATGTCAAAGGTAGTGGTTCTCAACCGGGGTGATTTTGTCATCCCCACCCCCCGGGGGTTACTTGAAGTCTGGAGGCATTTTTGGTTGTTACAACTCAGGGAAGAGGGTGGTGCTACTGGCATCTAGTGGGCAGGGATGCTGCTAAACGGCGCACAACACACAGGACAGCTCCCCAAAATAATCGCTTAATCTTAACTAATTACATCTGCAAGGACCTTGTTTCCAAACAAGGTCACATTCTGAGGTTCCGAGTGGATATAGGTTTAGGGGAAGAAGCCTTTCAGCCCACTACAGGTTTCAAGTGGTAGAATTTGGAAACCAATCTCTCAACTCTGAATCTCTGGAAGGCACGCCCTCATTTTTTACCTCCCCGGCTTTTAGCACAGGTCACAGAATGCAAAACAAACAAACAAAATGTTGCCTGGAATTTGTACACCTGTCTTCACAGCAGCATTTTTCACAGTAGCCAAAAGGTGGAGACAACCCAAATGCCCTCAGACGAATGAATGGGTAAACAGGAAGTGGTATATCCATACAATGAACTATTGATCAGCTTAAAAAAAGGAATGAAATTCTAACATATGCTGCAACATGGATGAAACTTGAAAGTACTCTGTAAGTAAAATAAGCCAGAAGCAAAACAATAAACATTGTATGGTTCTGCTTATAGGAGGTACTTAGGACAGTCAAATCCACGGAGGCAGAAGGCGATTGCCAGGGGCTGCAGAGAAGGAGGAAGGGGGAGTGATAACTTTAATGGGTACAGAGTTTCAGGTTGACACGATGAAAAAGTTCTGCAAATGGACAGCAGTAACACCTGCAATAACAGTGTGAATGTACTTGATGCCACTGGATTGTACTCTTAAGAACGGTTAGCACAGCCCTAGCCGGGCATGTCAGCGGCTTGGAGCATCGTTCGATATACCGAAAGGTTGCGGGTTTCACCCCTGCTCAGGGCAGGTACCTAGGTCAGGGTGCACTCACGCGGGAGGCAACTGATTGATGTTGCTCTCTCATATCAACATTTTTCTCTTTCTCCCTCCCCCTCTCCCTGTAAAAGTCAATAAACATACCCTCCGGTGAAGATTTAAAAAAGCAGTTAACATGGCAGGTGTTGTTAGGTATATTTCACTGCAGTAAAATGAAAGAAATGTTTGCCAGCAGAATAACTGCTGACATTCAGGGCACGCATCCCAGATCCCTAGAATGTCAGTCCTCAGCCTCCAGTTCCTCCAAATCCTCACAAAAATAAGAACAGAATTCACGTACTGAATACTTACTCTATGCCAGCTGCTATGCTAAGCATTTTGCGTGATTGTTTTTTTAATTTGCACAACAACCTTGTAGTAGATACTGACATTCCATTTTACAGACAAGAAAACAGGCATGGGGCTCAGAGAGGGTAAAAAGCTTGCACGAGGTCACCAGCTAATAAAACACGGGGGGTTGAACCCGAGTTTTCTGCAGAGCCCAAGGTCTCACTTTGCTGTACTTCCTGGAAAACTTCTCTCAAACCTGTGAGTCCCATGCTTTGCGGATACGGACAGAAGGTGGCCTCTAGTGCAGGGTCCCCAGGCTTCTGCTAAGGAAGATAATAGCCAAGAGTTAAATAGCGCCTTCCGTCATGCCTGGAAGTACTTTACACACAGTACTCTTGGAAGTACTTTACACACAGTACTCTAACCCTATACCAAGTCTCCGAGGTGAGTGCTGTTAAATATCCTGCTTTAGAGAGGAAGACCTGAGACACAAGAGGGTTAACCCGCCCAAGTCACAGCACTAGGTATCAACCCAGGAAAGTAGACTCAAGGACTTTCTAACCCCCTACTTTCCTTCCACCCTAGCAGGAGGAAATCCTCCGGTTAGTGACACTGGAAGGGCAGAATGACCAGCTCTTCCTCCTGCTTCATCGGGACCTTGTTCCCTTGCTTTGCCTCTTTTTTGTGATTGAAATGTTTGTATAATGAGTGAAAAAAAAAAAAGAGCTATGGAAAGGCTCCCTTCAGCTTTCAGCTGCAGTTCTCAGATTAGCCCAGGCACACTACACGTCCTCTGACCTCACCTAACTTGACAAAGTACTCGGGTTCTCCAAGCAGACGCGCGCTTCCAGTTACGTTTCATTGATCCTTTCAGTCCTCCCAGTTTTCATTGTCTGCTCTCATGAATTATTAGACAGCAGGTAAACGCACCTATAAGCTCAAGCTTATGCATAGTGGACCAGATAAATGAACGAGGAGTAAATTTTCATAAGGCCCTAGGCTCCTTCCTTACATCACCTGGTGAATTACCCTCATCACAAGTCCGCCTGGGCTGGAAACCTCACTCAGCATTATTAGCCTGGACCCAGCTCCCATTCTGCACCTTTGGGTGGTAAGTGTCGATCGCCTTTGGCTTGAGGTCTGAACTGGCTTGTGGCTGGCAGACATCCCTCGGCTTGCCCGCCCCAGCCCCGGTAGAGTAGAATGGGGAGCCGGGGAAGTCCAGGGGTTTTTGGAGCGTGTCTGTAGGCGTCCACTTGCTCATCCACTCGGGCACCGCCTAGTTTTTTCGAGAACTTACAGCGTCGGGCCCAGTGAGACTTCCATCCCGAGTTACTGCACGCGCCCAAGTTGGATGTTCTGCATATTCCTGTCGGAAGCAGAAAGGCCAATGTTAAAGGGGGCAGGGGGAGGTACTAAACTTATAAATATTAATAAAGGCAGCCACCTGCTCCAAGGAAGGCTACGAATGTTAACAAGGAGATGACGCATGGGTCCCGCGCGCGCCGGTGGGCGGGAGCCCGCGCGCGGGCGCGGCCCCGGAGCCCGGGCACGAGCGCGGGGAGGGGCGGAGGGCGGGTGCCGGGGAGCTGGCTGCTGCCGCCGCACTGCCCCGCAGCCACTGCCCCGCCGCTCCCTCGCACTGCGCTCCGGCAATTCTGTGGATGGAGGTGTCCCACTGAGCCCCGGGACGCGCCTCCCTCCGCCAGGACCCGCACAGGTGCAGTCGCGGGGGGCGATCTTGTCCGGACCGACCCACGGCCGTGGGTGGGGGTTGGACAGGGTGGTAAGGAGGCCCTGCGACCCCGGGCTTCCCTGCCCGTAGGTCTGGAAGAGCCGCAGCCTCGCACCCCGTTGCCGTGTGCCATCCTGGAATCGGAAAGGAAAAGCCCGGGGGCCGGCGCTCTCTGCCCAGCCGTTCGCAGGAGCGCAGCGGGGACACAGCGCCGGGCCGGGGACGTGGGACCGCGGGCACTGCGAGCAGCATCAGAGCCTGGGCCCCCAGCCGGGCCTGGTGTGTGTGTGAGTGTGACTAGGCGTGACCGTGGATGTGTGGACGTGTATGGGAGTGTGACAGTGTGTGTCCGTGTCAGCGCGCCGGTGCGGGGGTGCGTGTGTGCATGTGTGTGTCTGTGTACCGGAGCACGCGGTGTGGGGCCGGGGAGGCAGGGGGCCCGGGTGGGGCGGGAGCAGCGGTCGGTGCCTCCCCCGGTCTGTCACCTTAAAAACTCAAGTCGTCTCTGCCCCTAATAACCCGTCCCGCCGTCCGCCGTGCTCTCCCTGGGGTGCCAGGCCTTCCCCAGGACCCAGCACGCCTGCGGGGTCAGCACCCTGGCCGCCGCCGCAGACGCTGGGGAGCGATTGTCGGACCACAGGACCAGTCGCAGGAAGGACGCGTGTGGTGGAGGGCGCGCTGCCGACCGTGGGCTCCGGGTCTCTGGGGCTCAGAGCGCGACGCTGGACAGAGCTCGGGGCGGGGATTATCATCACAGCCCTCTGTTCTCTCTTACCTACCTCTTCCATCCTCGACACCCCTAAATCCCTACCCATTCCTGTGTCCCCGTCTTGTTTGGCCAAAAGGACCAGTGGAGTCTGTGTGCGGCCGGCGGGGTGAGCCCAGCTTTCTTGGAGCGCCAGCCATTGTGCTGCTTGGCGGAGCCTTTATTTACCCCAACAGCCCAGGGGCGGAGGGTAGGGGGGATGCGAGAAGAGGGTGAATGGAGCAGCGGGAGGAGGGGAAACAGGGAAGCAGAACCGCTAAGGGATTGCTGGCTTGGATGCAATGAAATACTCTTTCCATCAAAATGTGAAGCTGGCACGATCGTGTGCACCGGCCGGGTGTTGCTGCGTAGCAGCAGGAAACCCGAAGGTGCATTAGTGGAGGGCAGGTGGGAGGGACGGCGCGGGGCACGCAGAAGCAATTGATCTATGGGGCGAGTAATGGGAAGCAGGGGGCACTGTCAGGGGGGCCTCTGTGGCGCCCGGCGAATTCTCTGCTGCTCTGCTCCACTCTGCTCAGCTCAGCAAAGCAGGGACTGGAAGTCTGGGCGGCAGCGCCAAGCTGCAGCTAGTGCTTCATTGTGCTGCATGAGAGAGAGGCGTACGCGTTTCCTACCAGGCCTCTGTGAAGCTCCGAGGTGCCTTTTCTTTGCCAAATTACACTATCTATCTGGAGCCAAAATAAATGGAATAGATTATAGTACGTAATCAAACTATACCCCTGCCCTCTGTTCTACGATAAAAAGATAAGACAGGCTTTCTATGGTTTCTTCTTTCTGTCATTCTTGATATGTTTTTTTAAAAAATCAGTTTTGAAAGTACAGAATAAAAAGGGATAAGTGACTGATTATACTGACCCTAGCTTTTAAGGTGGGAGGAGACCTCTGAGGCGACCTGCAGTGAAGACAGGAAGACGGGCACGCTTGCCAGGGTGCAAGAGCAGGACCGGATCAGTTGGGGGGCAAAGATGAAGAGTGAAAGAAGGCGAGCTGAAGGAGGGAGAGAAGGGGGCACCATTTCAAGAAGGGCTTCGAGCCCCAACCCAGAACTCCCTCCTCAGGACCATGGTAGGGCCAGTCAAAATGCCTGGCTCTCATCTCCTCTGCCGCAGCCGAAGGTCTTTCTACAAATCCTAGGCTCACTCTGGGTGTTGGGTGACTTCTCGTTGCCAGCACAGCTTTCGGTCTTAGCATCATGTGTAGCTGCTAAGCTTCACACCAAGCTTCTCGGCTACTATGCAGTGAACTGGCGGAAAGAAATCAAGCTACATTATGGATTGTGATTATGTTTCTGAACTCTCAAACTATAATATAGATTTCTTCCCTAATAATCCTCTAGATGAATCCATTTCTCTAGAGGCTACTGAGGATGGGTACTTCCAGCATAATCTTCCTGATGCCAGCGTTCAAAACTCAGTCTGAGTCCTCTTGTTGCTGGTTAATTAGTATAGATTGTGCTATTTCAAATCCCCACCCCCTTGGCATCACCTGCTCCTTCCAGCACACAGTCTCTCCTAGAAAAGAGTACACATTTAAAGGGAATGACATTTCTGGAACATCTGCTGGTTAACTTTCATGTCTCTCTGAAATGGGACCCATGATTCAAAAGGCTTTGACCAAATGAACTGAAAATATGGGTGCCTTAGCAAAAAAGATGATAACATTTATTCAGCAACAGTTCTCTCACTTGATAAGCATTTTGAGGACAGTATGTCATAGCAGGGACAGTTTTTCTGTCACTTGGAGCACTCTCACTCCACATTTCCATGGAACTAGGTTATTCCCATTTTCCTAAAATCACTGAAATTTATTGGACACTGTGTATTCTACACATTGTACCTACTGTTTCAAAGATGATCTCATTCACTCCACAAAATAATCTTCAATGCGAGTACTCTTCTAAATCCCATTTTAGAGATGAGGAAACTGAGGCACAAGGAAGCTGACGATTTGCCTGCAGTCTCAGAGCTAGGAAGCGATAAGACCAAGGTGGGAACCCACAGTCCAGCACGTCACCCTCCAGAGTCCCACCTCCGCTGACAAACCCCTTACCAGTGAAACCTTCCCTACTCACTGTTCAGTCTGTGGTCTTGCCTGAACTCACATTGGCACTAAGGAAGCCCTCATCATTTCTGTGCTGTGGGTGGGCCCTTTTGGCAATGTAGAGAAACCTATGGGATCCTTCTCTGAATATGTTTTAAATGCATTAACCAAAATGTAATTATACTCAAGAGCCCTTGATGTCTGTAGACCTTTGGTGAAGAATCGCTCTCTGACGAGTAGTCACATGTGGCTCAATAGCTGTGGTGTCCAATAGGGTACCATTGGTTACATGAGGCTCTTGGGCACTGGAAACGGGGCTCGTCCAAACAGAGACTTACTGTGAATGTAAAATATACCCTGGATTTCAAAGATAGTATGAAAAAAATATAAAAGTGGATCATTAATATTTTAAAATATGGATTACGATTTGAAATGGTGATAGTTTCACTATGCTGGATTAAATAAAATACATTATTATAATTAAGTTATTAAGTTCATATGTTATTAAAATCAAGTTCCAAAGGTATTAGCTCTTTACCACCACCTTCATTTTAACAAATGAGGTAATCAGGACCCACGATGCTTCTCACTGAGCCAGACATCGGCCAGTCTCTTGTCCCTTAAGCCTGTGTTCTTCCCAAGCTATCATCCTGCTTTTGTATCTTTTTATATTCTAAGGTCCTACCATGTTGCGGTTGTAAACTATAAGTACTCAGGATATGCTTTGATGTGATGCTGTGCCCACTGACTCAACCCCAGTAAAAGCCAAGGAAGAGCTGGCCAGGGCCTGGCCCGCCCCTCACTCTGCTTATTTAGAGTTTCAGCTCCGTAGAGATGGAGAATGGCACTCGTAGCATCAAACGGTAGTTTTTGCTGTCTGTTCGGTTCTTTTCAGGTAGTGGTTCCAATGTAAGCATCTCACTGGATCAAAAATCACAGAGACAGAAGAGTTGGGTTGCCTGACTTTGTTACAAGGAAGGGAGTTTTGTGTGCAGACAAGGGCAGGATAGACAACGGTGTTTGTGCTGCCTGAGTGTGGGGTGAAAAGATCGGTCTTCAGTGAGTGCGCACTGATTGATTGCCTGGCCACAGGGCAGCGTGTGCTGGGAGCGGGGAGGGTGGTCAGAGGACGCCTGTGTCCTCAAGGAATTTAGATTCAAATTGGCGAAGGGCTTGGGGGTACACACAGATGGATACATCACAGATAAAGGCAACATATGAAGAGGGCCCGGAGCTGTTGGGAACTGAAGGGAGGCCAGAGTGTGCAACCTTCCCGGGTGCAAGGTGCAGGGTCCAAGGTGTTCTCATGGATTCTGCTCTGGGACACACAGTTCGTCTTTTTTTTTTTTTTTATCAATGTGAGAGAGAAACATCGATTAGCTGCCTTGTTGTAGTCACCTGACTGAGGATCAAACCTGCAACCTAGGCATGTGCCCTGAGCAGGAATCAAACCTTCGACCTTTTGGTCCATAGACCAGTGCTCCAACCAACTGAGCCACACTGGCCTGGGCAGTAGGGGGTCTGTCTTTTACAGGATAATGGTTCATTTACTCCATTCCTCTAGTCCCAGACACACACTCAGTGTCTGGGAGAAACTCTGGTGCTTGCTTGAAAGTCTCAGTTGGTGTTCTATTAGTTTCTTATTTAATGATGAAGGTAGTCGTATCCTGGGCCATGAATTCCTATCCAAAACCCTTGGGGCCGGGCATGTTTCAGAACTTTGGCTATCTCGAGTTTTGGAAGGCAGTAATAGAGTGTATATTCTGCATAGCATCCCATGGGCATGAGGGAAACAGTCTCCAGAAACGAGATAACAAAACCATATTCAGCCTTTATGTTCACATAGATCAGGTTTACTTGCCAAATGAGCTTAGGTCAGGTCAGGTTTTGCCACTAAGTAAGTTATGAAGATCCACCAGGTTCTGGAGCACAGGGTTAAGGATTTGGACATACATTGAACAATAGTGACATTTATGGTCTGCCAGCCATGTTCTAAGCTCTCCCCTGTGTTTGCTCCTTTACCCCTATGACAACCGGGGATGCGCAGGTCCTGTTATTATTTCTGTCTTGAGAAGACTAAAACGCAGCACAGAGAAGTTGAGAAACTTGCTAAGGTCAGAACTGGCCAGGGGCAGAACAGGACGTGAGCCTAGGCGGTCTGGTCCAGGGGCTGCACGTGCACCGTTGAGCTTTGTTTTTCAGAGCAGGGAATTGGGAGCAGGTATGTCTCTCAAGTTTACTCTATTTCGGTTAGCATTATTTCTACGGACAATGATGTTTGAACTCCTTAAGTGTGCAATAATGAGGAAGTGCAGGAGCGATGGATGCCAGTAAAGTGGAATCTTTGGTTTTGGGAAGACAGAGTAATGGGAAGGGATTCCTGTTGGTCAGCAAAGCTGGCCCGGAAGGCCAGCCCAAGCTCACTTTGTCTCATTCATTTCTCCCAGATAAACGAATCCTGAGAGCTGCAGCTGTGCCAGAATGGAGGCCCCACTGGTGAGTTTGGACGAAGAGTTTGAGGACCTCCGGCCCTGCTGCTCAGAGGGACGGGAGGAGAAGCCCCGGTGTTTTTATGGCTCATCTCCCCACCATCTAGAGGACCCCTCCCTGTCCGAGCTTGAGAATTTTTCTTCTGAGATAATCAGCTTCAAGTCCATGGAGGACCTCGTGAATGAATTTGATGAGAAGCTCAATGTCTGCTTTCGGAACTACAACGCCAAGACCGAGAACCTCGCTCCTGTGAAGAACCAGTTCCAGATCCAGGAGGAGGAGGAGAATCTGCAGGATGAGGAGTAAGGAGTCCTAGTTACCCTCTTCCACTTCATACCAGGACCCTGTAGCTTGGGGCTCCCGGACAGAGAAGTAGTTTCTGGCTGTGAGTTCATGGCTTCTTGCCTACGTTTTTATGTCCGTGGGGCAGTGCCTGGCAACTGCTGACGTGCTCTGCAATGTCCATTTATGGTCACCAGCAGAGTTTTCTTAGATGGAAAGAATGGCTCAAAGTAATGAAGGGATTTTAGGAAATAGAAAGTTTTCCCTCGATACAAATAGAATTTCAGGAGCATGGTACATTTGGGGGGGTCTATCTTCAGCTTTTTTTGTGTCAGTGGGAATCCACCCAGATATTAAAAAATAAATAAGGACCAGAAAAAAGAAATTAACTATGACAGAGGAATCTATGTCATTAGAACAATTTCCTTCAAGAAACAGCAGAATTGTGAACATCTCTGAATTGTTTACAGTCCCTTACCACTGTAAAAAAGTATCTAGAAAGGTTAAGATGTGTCCAAATAGGAACATATATCAATTGAACAGAGAGCCCATGGAATTACCCCAGACAATGTAAAAGTGGTAACTGGGAGAAGTGGCTTCTGGGTGGGCGCATCCCCCACGTCACTTACCAACCACCTTCTTGGATCTGAACTGTAGTCAAGAAAAGGGATCTGAGAAAAGAGCTATTTGGGGAGGGACTAGAAAGAGAAGGGGTAATTTGTCATATAAATGAAAGAACAGTGTTTGGGGCACTTATAAAAAACACATGAATTCCCTACAGAGATAAAAATGTACCAGTCGTTCTGTAGGCATTGCTCAAGAATGACACATGGATGGTAATGGAAGTTTTGAGCAACTGTGCTTTGGGTTCTCTTTTTACGGACTCGAGTGGGAAGAGTTGGCCATAAACAAGCTGGGTAAGAGGCATGTCCTGGAGGCTTGGGTCTGACTGTATCTGGCAGACGGTTGCTTATGTGGTGACTAATTAAGACTGCATCTCTGAATACAGGGCTCCCCATCTGTGTTTTACTATTATATCCCCACCATCTAATATAGTGCTTGGTGTTTAGTGCATGATCAAATATTTTTGAATGAACTATTGAATATTGAATGAGTTGGATGAGCAATAACAGCTAGCCTTGTAGGAATATGTAAAGTATTTCTAGGTCTACCCCATTTCTGTCTTCTTTTTAATTCAGTCTCCCCTAAAGCCACGGGCATAGAGAACATCTCACTCTGGTGACTGGTACCCTCTCTGCGCTGAATGTTCTGATTCCATTTTACGTTTCAAATGAATCCTTTTTAGATACTGAGCCTGTATAATTTGTTCAACTCTTTTAAATCAAAAAAGGGAAAAATGTGGGGCTTGATTGTACAGAGAATCTTTTTACTGTAGTTCATTGCACCAGGCAATGAACTAGAAATATAAGGACTATGAATTCTAATTTTCCTACTCTCACTAACTCACTATGTGACCTTGGGCTGGTCACCTAACTCTAGTTGGCTGCGTGGGTCCTCCCCTTTGAAGCCTCCAGAGCCCAATCTTGATGAAGCGGGACTAAGGACTCTTGAAGAACTTAATTTCTTATCTCATCCCGGCTGCGCTCTCAAAATGACATTTTAAGATGTGCCCCATACCTTTTGCTTCCAGCAAATCATTTTTCTGCCATCGAAATCCCCCTCTGCCTCATTAAGGATGAAGGCCCAGCCAGCAGGCTCTTACTCTCTCCCAACACAACAGCAGAGGCCACTCAATGTCAATTACGGTCATGTGGGATTATTGGTTTTGTCCTGATTGTCCTCACTCGCCTGCTTCATTGACTGACTCGGCTAAAAGACCAAAGGTTGAATAATTCCTTAGAGATCAAGTATGATTTGAGGATAGTGTAGGGGGAGGCAGCTGGTAAGAGAGAAATGAACACTGTGCTTTCTAGCCAGTCCAGGTACCTGACTCTTCACAACTTAAAATAAAATCAGAATTAAATTGAATATTTTCTAGACACCTATTCAGATATTTCAACTGTAGAATTATGATGAGGTAAAGGAGAAAGATAATTGAATATCTAATCTGATTGCAATTCTCCTGAGCATAGCTCTTGTGTTCTAGAAGCTTGCTTAGGTTTGGTATTTGGAGAGATAGTTCACCTCCAAATGAATGGAAAGTGTTTTGGGTGGAATAGAACTAAATATAGAACCCTTTAAAACAAAAACAATGACGTTTTTGGTCAAACTAACCTCCTTAAAGAAAGCACAAACCGTAAAGCACATGCAGTCATTCCCTTTGAAGTCTGATTTCTTTGATTCCCATTGGGAGTGTTTGGCTACTAAGGAACTGGCAGCGATACCACCTCGTCTCTGACTCTTCAGGACATGAAGCCTTCATGGAAAGTTAGACTTAAATAACCTCTCCTGTTTTTAAATTTAGAAACGATTTCGGAATCTCTTCTTGGCTTAGGTGTGATCACTCTTTCCTCTATCATAAGAGATTGAACCTGGGGACCAGAGCTCCCTAGAGCCCAATACACAATGGGAATGGACTGTCTCACCTCACCTCTTGCCTTATTGGAGTCCCTACCAGCCCTCCTACGAGGGCCCTGGATACAGAGGGGCCAAACAATCAAGAACAGAGACAGTTCTCCTGTTCTTTAGATGAAATCATGGGATTACAGGTGATGTTAAAGACACAGGCTAAGTCTGCACAATATATAAATAGCCTCCAGGCAGCCACACTGTAAGTTGAAGACAAATAAATATTAAATAATCAGCTAGGAAAAGCTGACAGATAACCGTGATTTTTAGGAACGTTAATTCTTTTCTTAGAGGTTCAGTGTTCCCCTAGAGAAGGCAGAGGTAACACTAATTCTGGTTAAGCACTGGGACGAATCTAAAAAGTTGTTCAAAGTCGTTATTGTGCTAGTAATCTTACGTGTTAACTGCGAGAGCACACTCATGTGAACGCACATCTAAGGATGGACATTGGCACCAGACACAAATGGACACTGGACAAGGTTCATCTGAGGGACTTCAGCCTGAGGGGGTTCAGGGACATGTCACCAAGCCCGAGGAGCCCTGTGCACTCTTTACCATATTGCCAGGAGTAGATGTGTCGGGATGTGTGTACGCACACGTGTATGCAGCAGGATTAAGGTAGCCTTGATGGCTGTATTGCCAGTTTCAGACCCGAGCTCTCGTCTAGGTGTATCATCACAATCCACACTGTTCGGTGACCTCTGCCGGCACCCTTTCCCAAAGCCCTAGCCCTCTGCCGAAAGACAGTGTAATCAATTCTGCAGACCTCTGAGCCCAAGCTATGAAATATGCACCTGAAAAGACTGTTCTGTTATTTTCAGCAAACATAATCTCAGGGCAGCAGGACAGGATTGAGGCAACCTGTTTAATCTCAGCTCTTTGATGAAAGATAGAATAGATAGCTTTCGAAGACTCCTTTCTGCAAGATAAGAGTACAGAGTAGGCTGCTGCTCAGGAAGTGGGATTTTACTGTCTACCTCAGTGTATCCGCACAAGGGAATTTGTTAATTTCCAAGGACCCTGCTTACCATTGGAGAGTCGGCGTCTCTGGGGAGAAAGCCCATCCCTCTCTCTTCCTCCCTCCACGCTCCTCAGTGCCATGGCTGCCTGCCTTTGCCTTCCATTTGCCCTTCCCTGGGATGGGGATGGAGGCAGAAAGCTGTGTGCACCCCTGCTGCCCAAGCCACTATCTTCTGCAGACTGGTGAGAAAGCACTGTCCAGAACAAGGTAGCTATAGATGTTTCACACACAGCCAGGTTCTGAGGTTAAAGGTGGGGTTAAAGGTGATGTTAACCCCAGGTGTGATTCTAGGCGCGGTCCCAGGTGTGATTTGGGACTTTATAGTGTTCTGTTGCCCATGCCCGTCATAAAATTCATCCAGAGTTGGAGGAGTTAAATGGTTAGGAAGCCAGGCTCTATTGCCTGGATTCAAACCCCACCTCTGTTTTCACAGCTGCCTCAACTTACCCAAGTTAAATAAACTTTCCTAGGTTTCAGTTCTTCCTCATTAGCATCTGCCATACAGAGTTGTGAGGAGTGACTGAATTAATCCACGGTAAATGTTTAGAGTAGCACCTGGCTTATGTTGGTTTCGTGTTGGCTGCTATGATTGGTGGGGGACGGGAACCCAATAAATACAGGAAGGTCTGTGAGTGACTGCAAAGAGATGGGAGTCATTCTGTGAAGGTTGTTCACACACCTCAAAGGATAAAGAGCTGTTCAACACGAAGAGGAAAACCTGGACAAAACCTGAAAGACAATGAGAATGGGGAGGAGATAAAGGGTTAGGAAATTGTCACTAAAAATCTAGCATTAGGAGATAAAATACAGTGGAGGGTCGTGAAGGCTCAGATGAGAAAAGTTGCTGTTCCCTAAAAGATTTGCCAGATTTTCCAGCTGTCACCTTAAGGATATGAACAATTTGAAGGTCATTTGAATGTGTGCAGCCCATTGAAGTTCCCAGCTTCCATCCTGCCTAGGGGAGCGGGACACGCGGCTGTGGACTATTTTGGGCTTTGCTGAATTTCATTTTCCAGGCACTTGCTGCGGGGACAAACCCGAAGGTTAGTCCTGCACGCACTTTTGTTACCTCGTCACCTCAGAGAACCTGATGCAGTGATCTCATGCAAGCAGGGGGCGTCCCCACCTTTCTAGTGGGCGTGGCACTTGGAGTTCGGTCTCCTAGACGTCGAATCACATTTGGCTCTAGGATGCTAATGAGACGTGGATTTGGAATTAGGCTGGATTAAGGAGGTGCTAACTGTGCCTGATAGAGACTGCATTATCGCTATGTTTACGGAGTAGACTCAAACCCTGCTGAATACAAGTCTAGTGAACGCTTGGTGAGCGCTCTCGAAGGGCTTTCTCGTAATCGTAGGAAAATAGTGAACGAGCCTATGGCCCAGGCACCGCCACTAAATTGTGTTTTTGTGAACTCTTTTCATTTCGTTGCCACTTCAAATGGTATGCGCCGAGCACTAGGAAAATCTCTTTGCTTATACACCCATATATCATATAGTATTTCTTTTCCTTTTTTAAAAGATTTTATTTATTTATCTTTAGAGGGGAAGGTGAGAGGGAGAGAAACATCAATGTATGGTTGCCTCTAGCGCATCCCCTGCAGGGAACTGGCCTGCAGGGAACCTGCCTGCAACCCATCATATAGTATTTCTGATTTTATATACGTTAAGCATTAAGAACTCTTCCCTCCCTCGTTTTATGTATCTGATTTTGATTTCAAGTATCTGTGCTCTGTTTTGCTCTCTCTCTCTATATATATGTATATATATGTATATATATAATTTGCACTTATTGTTTCATATTTAATCCGTACTTTGTCTTTTTTTTCAATTTGGTCCGTATAGATTGCTCACTTTAAATGGCTATTTTCTTGCATTAATGTTGTCTGCACGCTGGTTTCATAGGCGCCACTCGCATCTGACACACACAGGCACCTGAGGGAACTGCAGAGAGGCCTCCTTTATCCTTCTTTAGTGTTAACTAGGGTGCTGCTTGCTTCCGGGGGTGGCAGCATTTTAGGGTTTGGTTTACTGGTTCATATCAATCCCTCACTATTGATTAATGCATGTATTTTCCACTGCGTGAAAGTTTGTGACTTCAGGATTTTTCCCGCCTCCCTTTTCCCCCAAACAAATCATTCTGAAATAAGTGAGTTAAGCAACAGGAATTGTAGAAAACCCCTTTTTTCATAATGTACATATTGAAATTTTAAAAAGAAATGTAAACAAGGAAGCCTCGTCTTCTCCCACCAAGAAGTGTTTACCTAGACAGAGGTGTGTTCGGTTCTCCCTCCCATATGTTTGCTTTGGAGGGTCCATGGTGGAGGCGGGGCACACTCCAACTCTGTCGTTAGGGGGCAGATTGTGCCACCTGTGGGCTCACTAAACCTTTTGGGTAATAAGTAAGCATCCGCACTGTTGGCCCAGATAACGACCCTGTGCTTAATGAGATCCAGCCAGAAAATCTGTCCAGATATCCCCTCCCCTTCCCTCCCCTCTTCTCTTCCACTCTTCTCTGCCCATAAGAGAGGAAACAGAGGCATTACTCAGTTTCATGAGACGTGAACTATTTTGTGGAAGGGCAGATTTATTTTCTAGGGAAATTTTGTTATTGTCAGAGGTGGTCTCACTGTCCTCTCTACCACGTGCATCTCAATGGTGAGAAATCCCTGTTCCCCGAAGCAAACACCTTGCACTTGGAGGCTCCCAGCCAGGGTGAGCCTCTGATTCGGTGTCTAAGCTGCCCTGCCCCTGCATGCTGGAAGACAGATGCCTCAGCCTGGCGCTCCTGGAGGCCCCTCTCCTCCCCCGACCCGGCTCTTCCTTCCTCCTGGGGGTGGGGCCACAGATGGGTGCTAATGAGAGCTTCTCTTTGTTTCCAGGGTCTGGGATGCTCTGACAGACAATTACATCCCTTCACTCTCAGAGGACTGGAGGGACCCAAACCTGGAGGCTCTGAATGGCAACAGCTCTGACACTGAGGTACCTCTCTGCTCCCTCCAACACCGCCCCCAACTTGATAGGGCTTGAGAAAATGTGGATTCCAGTTTGAGGAACACTTAGGATCTTAACAGTCTTCTCCACTAAACACTCAAAATCATTGCTGGAAAGGAGGAGCTGTAGATGAGGGGCACACCCAGTGTACACGGGGTGCCTGGAATTGTTATCTGTGAACATGGGACGTTAGGTGGTCTGAAGGAAGAGGAGGGCAGTGGCTACCACGAGTTTCTTTTTGTGTTCAAGTAATAATGGTTAAAACGAACAGTCTAGTCCCATCAAAACAGTGCTGAGAGCAAGTGCTGATGCTCTGTGCCCAGCTCAGGGCCTGGCTGGTGACCAGAGTCAGGGCCCAGCTATTAGGGAGGTGGCCACACAATGGGAAGGAATTCTTTTTTGTCTTAATTGTTGCTCTATTACAATTGTCCCAATTTTCCCCCATTACCTCCCCTGCCCGGGCGCCCTCACCTCTTCCACAGTCAAGCCCCACCCTGTTGTCCATGTCCACGAGTCATTAATACCTGGTATGAGGAGGAATTCTTTATGGAATTCAACCAAAGAGACGTTTACGTTGTTGGACCTGAGTCACATTCTGAGATTACTGATGTCAAAGAAAAAAGTAGCATAAAGGCTTCTGAATAAATAAAGAGAATATTTATTTTGAGTTGATTTGCAGAGGCTGAGAGTGAACTTCCAGAAAACTGCCCCTCCCAGCTGATTCTACATATAAAAAGGTGTACTCATTTAATGGCTAAAAGCCCATTTCTGCTTTGCTTGGTTTTCTAGTTTCAGCTAAAAAGGAACTTTGACAATTTCTTATCAAGAAGTGCTGTCAGGCACAGTACATGAAGGAGGCAGGATGAATCTGCTATTCCTGGGTGTTCTAGAATTAAGTTCAAGTAAAAGAGCTAGAAACAGATTTCCCTTACTGCACAATATTTCTGCATATCATTGTCCAAAGTAGCAGATAATCAGTTGGCTGATTTTTTTTGGAAAGGTGGTTGTATATCCTTCTTAACTCTTCCAATACTTAGCAATCCAAAATACTCGAAAATCTCAAGGCTTTGTTGACTGCGGCAGGTAAGATGATGACTTTCAGACTAAGAGATTTGTCACGAGACCGTCTCGGGTCCTGTTTTGAACTCCCCGCTGTGTATTTTCTCCTGCAGTGCTATGTGTATGGTGTTTAGTAGGTATCCATAATGCAAAAAAGAAGATAGTGAATATGAAAACAAATCTAGTTACTGAAATTAAATCAGATCCATTTTGATGCAAAAAGCAGATTTTGCTTTGTTATCTCTTTTGCCACCTTCCCAACTCATTCTGAGGATTAAAGCCAAAGAACATATAAGATAACCTGCCCTTCAAAAGGACTTCAATTTATCCTCATTTGCAGATTTCCCTCAAGAGGGTTAATATTTCAGGGCAAATTGAATGACCCTGAGAACGATGGTGATCTTGAGCTTCGTTCCTTGTAGAATTTCTTCCATCTCACCCAGGGGAAAAGGCCAAGGCAGCGAAAGTGGATGGATCAAGGTTGTTTCATTTCATCCTCCTTAATGATCTGCATTCATTACGGTTGAAATGACTTGCTAGATTAAGCAGGGCTCTGTGTTCCTTCTGTAAAACGGACTGACCGGATGGATGCCCTTGGCGAGCGGAATGCACACGTCTGGTAGGCTTCTCTCTATTGAGCTTGCGTCTCTCTTCCTGCTCAGGTGATTCATTGCCAGGAACCAGGTGTGTTTGTTCCCAAGCCTGTTCATGCTTGTACTTGTGGCTGTAAATAAGTAATTTAATTAGATATTATAGAATGTGTTGGGTTATGACTGCAAAGAGAGGCATTTTTGCTTTAATAATTTTTTTCTTTTTATTGATTCCAGACCGAGGGGAAGGGAGGGAGAAAGAGAGGGAGAGAAACATCGATCACTTGCCTCTTGCATGAGCCCCCACTGGGGACCAAATCCACAACCTGGGCGTAGGCCGTGCCTGGAAATCGAACCTGCCACCTTTCACTTTGCAGGATGATGCCCGACCAACTGATCCACTCTGGCCAGGGCATTTTTGCTTTTTTTAAAATTGAAGTAACACATGCACATAGTTTTAAAAGTCAAATAATACTTTTAAAACAATATGAGACTAAAAACAAATGAAAAAAGCAGCCCTGATTGGCCTTTCCTTGCTCCATAGAGGCAACCTCGTATCTTTCTTTGAATTGATGATTGTTTTGGCAGGTATCTTCAATTTTCTACATAACACACTTACATTGCTATTTCTTTGATGATTTAAAATGAACAGTTGGGGTGTTACCTATATCTATTACTTTGTATCATGGAAGATAAGACTCAATTCTTTCACATCATCTCCAATGCCCAACTCAACCTGCCCCATTCTAACCTAGGGTTGTCGCCAATGTATAGTTCAATCAGTGGTAATTACACAGGCCCATGGTTTACTCTGTAAATACTCCTCAAGTACTGTTTCTTGCTGAATCATGCACAGTGTGCTGTAAGAATATTTCCTCTCTTGTACAACCTTTCGTTTAATCTGGAGGAAGCATTACCTTGTTTTTCATTTGTTTCATTTCCTAATATACCTTATATAGCATTAGTTCTACCCCAAATCCTGAGGGAACTCTAAATCTCAAAATCAGGTTTAAAAAAATCAGATATTCTATCAATTCGAATTTTTCTACAAAACGTCTGAGCCTGTCCCCTCTATGTTTCTGCTATGAACTAGCTTGGTCGTGCCCCCGCCACGCCACCCCGGTCCTGGGGGCCCCCGACCTTCATCCTGGGGGCCCCCGAACCTTCTTGCCTCTCTCCAGTCCTGTGCCTGATATTTTTATCTTTTTGTTTGGGTGAGGAAAAAATCAGTACATTCTTCAGAAAGAGTACAGAAGAATATGCATTTTAGAGTATATGAGAATGTCTTTATTATTCTGTCATCTCTTCGTTGGAGAGTCTGACTTAACAGTTATTTTAAGTTGCAGATTTTTTGTTCTCAGAATTCTGAAAACATTGTTCTTTTGTCTTCCGGCTTTCAGTGGCTGTGAGGAGTCCCAAATCCATTTCATTCCCTGCCATTTTGAAGATTTTATAGAGAGGGGGAGAGAGGGGAAAAGAGAAGGAGAGAAACATTGGATGTACAAGAGAAACATCAATGGGTTGTCTCTTTCGCACCCCCAACTGCAGACCTGGCCCACGACCCAGGCCCGTGCCCTGACTGGGGATTGAACCAGTGACCTTTGGTCCGCAGGCTGGTGCTCAACCCACTGAGCCACACCAGCCAGAATGACTCCCTCTCTCTGATATGGGACTCTCTTCTGGTTCTCTCCAGAGCTTTTAGGATCTTTCTCTTCCCCTTTCTCATTTGAAATTTTGCAGTAATGTATCTTATAGTGAGTTAAAAAAACTTTTATTCATTCAATCCGCATTAATTCAGTGGCCCCTTTTAACCTGGAAGCCCGTGACTTTATATTGTAGCATGTTTTCTTGTGTTATTTCTCTGAGGAGTAATTATTTCTGTTTTTTGTTTCGATTGAGATGAATATATCGTCTTCTCATTCATTATGTTAATGTAATGAAATACGTGAGTTGATTTTCAAATATTAAGTCAACCTTGCCTTCTTGAGATAAACCCAACGTGGTCGTGATGTATTATTATTTTGTTTTATTTTAGTTTTTGGTTTTCTTTTTCTTCTCGCAGCTTCGTTGAGGGATCATTGGTATAAAATGAATGACACTTATTAAAGTGTGCATTTTGATTAGTTTTGATGTGTGTATACATCTGTGAAACCATCACCATAATCAAGACATTGCGCACATCTGTCACTTTCCCATTCATTCCCCAACCTCCAGGAGACCCATTTCTGTCACTATAGATTAGTTTACACTTTCTAGAGTTTTGTATAAAGGGAATAGTGCAGCATGCACTCTTTCTTTTCTGGGCTGGTTTTTAAAACTCAGTATAATTATTTAGATATTTATCCATGTTATTTTATGTATCAACAGTTCATTTTTTATTGCTTAGTGCTATTCTATTATATATGTATATATAATACTATAATTTGCTTATTCATTTACTTATTGATGGGCATTTAGGTGCTTTCCAGTTTTTAAACATTGGAAATGAAACTACTATGAACAGTCTTGCGTAAACTTTTTGTGGGCATATGTCTCCGTTTTTCTTGGGTACAAACCTATGTATAGATGTCTGGGTTACAAGTGCACGTTTCACTGGTTAAGAAACCGCCAGAGCATTTTGCAGTTTGAGAGCTGCAGTCATTGCACATCCCCATCAGTGCTTCTTATGAACAGCCTTTTTAGTTTTCAACATTAGAGCAGGTATACAGCAGTGTCTTCTTTTGGTTTTAATTTGCATTTCTCTAGTAACACATGACGCTGAACATCTTTTCATGTGTTTATTTACAAGTGTGTCTTCTTTGGAAAAGTGCCTGTTCAAATCTCTTGCCCATTTTCTTTGTGGTTTGTTTGTGTTCTTATTATTCAGTTGTTAGAATTCCTATGTTAAAAGACAAATAAAGTGAGGCATAGTAAATTTATGAATTATTTGAGCAAAAATCAATTCAAATTGGGCAGCAGCAAACCAGAAATGGTTGGGAGTATTCCCCCGACATGAGGTAGGAAAAAAGACTTTTGCAGAGAAGAGATGGAAGCAGAGGAAAGAAGTCATTTGATTGGCTATAGCTTGATTAAGTGGCTGTACTATTTGGGAAAGCCTAGTTGGTTGGTTGTGATTGGTTGTAAAGATTTTATTTTTTTATCTTTAGAGGGGAAGGAAAGGAGAGATATATCAATGTATGGTTGCCTCTCATGCATCCCCTGCTGGGAACTGGCCTGCAACCCAGGCATGTGCCCTGACTGGGAATGGAACCGTGATCCTTTTGTTCACAGGCCCACACTCAATCCACTGAGCTACGCCAGCCGGGGCTGATATATGTATATTTTTATGTTAACATCATT